TACTATGTGCTGAAAACAACCAATCGGATCGCAGGGATCATGACTTCCCTCTAAACGTCGCGATCCGATTGGTTGTTTTTGGCACATAGGGCTTTTCGGCACACAGGGACGGTCCTTATTTATAACGAGCCCTGGAAAAAAACATGTATAAAAGGAATGGGTGCCGAATAGTGGATAAGATTACAGCTTGCCTCGCACCTGAAGGCGAGTATTTAACTTCACCGCGCGTTCAACAAGTTCCATCATGCGGTGTACTGGAGTGTCTAAAGATTCGAAATGATTCAAATCAACACCTAATACCAGCTTTGCAGAAACCTGCGCAGCTAGTCTACTTGTATATTTGAAGACATTGAAGGCGTGACCGAGATTCTCAGTTTGATCAAGGACTTTGAAGGAAGAAGATCCGGCATCTATTATGTTGGGCAGGTGGTGTTTCATTGCCTTCGGCGACATGCTTGGAGGAAGAAACTTATGGGCTTCTTTCCAAGCGGGGGATTCTGTGTCGCAGAGGAATAGTGCCGTGGGATCTTGTATTCGGTCCAAGGGATGGCTTGGAGATGTTGGTGCGTTGGTGAAATATTCACTAGCTCGAAAGGCCAATTTAGCTACTTCGGGATTGTTGGTTAAGTAATAAGTTCGTCTAATGTTGTGAACTTTGATCACACCTCCGTAAGTGTCAAATAACCGGCGATAGTTGCCAATGTAATCGGGGTAGATGTCGAAGTAATTCTGGAAGAAAGGAACACTTCTTGGGCCCTGGGGGTCTCTAATTCTACGATCGCCGATGAGGACACTTACAGGGCCATCGGTGATTTCTTCTAACAGTTGCACCTTCCTGCGATTCTGGTAGAGAGTTACATTGCCTACGTATTCATCAGCTTGAGTTGACTGAGAAATCATCGGAGAGATATTGCCTTTATTTACCAGAATATTAAATCTGGCCAGGATCGTAGCGTGTAATGCTTCAAATGTTTTGTACTGGCCAAGCTGAAAGGATTGGTTCAAGCCCCCGCTGAATTCTCATAGACAAACATTGATGGTCGCCATTTAGCCGGTTGGGGCACACAAAATCGCTGTATAAAGATATTGTGAGACCAATCAATTCGGTTCCTAAAGGATATGTCACAAGTATAAGTACTCAAAACCTTCGGGGCAGCATTAGCGCGATCGCCTCATGTCTCGCCAGAATTCCTAATGCAGCCTGAGACAAGGATGAGGAAGAAGGGAAACGGACGTATGATTACTCAGATTAGTTCGGAAAGGCATGTAGTCACTTAGTCATTACCTACTAATAGCTTCACACCAGCTATCCGACACTGCTCACGATAAAAACAGGGACATGGTTTGGGCGAACATCCATCGTATCAGTTTTAGAAATTCTGAGATATTGTTTTACAATCATTCCAGCATGGTAGTAGTTAAAGAGCTCTCTCAGGGTGAGGTGGCGAATCATAGCCAAGGAAAGGACCTATGGGCCTGTATTCGTGGATATGGTCAGTCCCTTTGCTACCCATCTGCCCGAAAGAAACCCGATCTTGATATAGTATACAATGTCTCGAATTTCATAGAAGAGCATCCTGAGTGAAAAGAGGTTCTTCGTGCGTTTGCAGGAAAAGATGCCACAGAAGCTTTCGAGGACGCTGCCCACTCCGAGGAGGTTACGACAATTATGAAAGAACTCATCGTCGGAAAAGTCCCATCGCTGGTAAGGGCTTCATCTTCCTACTAGCAAGATGCAAACTGATTTTGTATAATCAATAGCAACCGAAGGCTGCATCTACAACCCAGAGACCAACAGAAGCATCACCGATCCAGGAGACTAAATCACAGCTTGAGCGGAGTCGTGGTGGTAAAAGCACAAGAGACCGAGCCAAGTTGTTCCTCGTGGTATCTATCACAGCTCCGGTAGCACTAAGATTGGTTGCGGTGGCACCCATACTTGCATTCTTCGTGGTTATTGGAGTTTCTATACCACTTGCTGTATCAGTAAACATTGTCATTGTAGTCACACCCCGTCACCAAGCGGTTGAAGATTATGCAGGCTATATTAAATCAAACCTAGCTAGCTAAGAGTACCACCAAAAGTCTTGAAGAGTCATGGGAAACTTAGCCTGAATAGAACGGTGCACTGTGTTGGCGGGTTGTATTTTGCGACGGATTGGGTTGTACTCAAAAGACTGGGTTGCTAGCGAAACGTTCGGAGCCAGCTTTGTATCTTTACTCCAGTCAATTTCACGATGTAGAGCCTCCAGAAACGTGACAACCTGATTGTAATGTTAAATAATACTTCATCCCGCTTCAATTTCCGTTAATAGTTTTGAGGTACTTAAAGGACGCATACCGGTTTGGTGAACCATCGTTGGTCTTCTGATTCATACCAGCCAAGATGACCGCCGGAAGAGGTTGTGCAGAGCACAGTGTATGGGTTAATGCAAAACTCTTCAAAAGGCAGGGCTTCATAGTGAGAAATCTCAAAGTTTTCTCTAGCGACTCATACAATAGAGATGGATGGCCAACTTACCGGATCGTCTTCTGCGTTGAGAGCAAAGAGAGGCACCTTCACTGCAAGTACAGCATCAACCGATGATGCATCTCTATAGTACGTCCCAGTCGTTGGGTAGCCCCACATAGGTAGCTGAACAACACTTTTGTTGATCAGCTTAGTTATCTTCCTAACGTCCTCAGGGCAACTGTGTGAATACGTATCGAAGTCAAAAGAGTACTGAATCTTTTCGACCGCGGCAGCAGCAATCCTACTATTTCTCAAGACCATTTGAGCATGTCTGCATTCAATGTTAGATTCCAGTCACTCGTGCGATAGTTAATTTTATCACTTGCTGCTGAAAAGTCTGCTTCATTCCGTTTCCTAGGGCGTTTGAGTAGATATTGAGGCCCATCCAGCTTCGTCGGAGTGCGTTGACAACGACCTCCAAGTTCAACGGGTTTGAGCATACCACAGCGGCCCTGATGCCACATCTCTCGCCCTCCTCGCCAAGATACCAAACTTCCCACTTTTGATTAATATTTAGTCCTTCATGAGACCCATGTGAAGGCAGGGAAACTCACATTTACTAGAATATTTGCCCCAATCGAGAAACCGATGGCGTAAAGCGGCCGATTGGGGTACCTATTCCGCAAGAACGCCACCGTTTGCTTCAGGTCCCATGTCGATCGTGCATTGTATAACAGCGGACTTGTCAGATCAGTGCCGCCACAACCACGCGATACAACGACGCATGCCTCCCATCCACTAGCGACCAGTGGCGCCAGGACATGCTTAATACATCGCTCATGAGAAACACCAGCGACTCCATGTAATGCGATCACCATTGTCTTGCTGTCGAATGAGCCAAAGGGTGCACTATGGTCTCCGTAGTATGTGATATGTGGAGGCAATGAGGAGTCTTCTTCCATTGTTTCACTTTCGTCCTGGCTGACAAAGTCAACAGCGAAGGTCCCCGGGTATAGATCATCCTCTGACTTGAACATTTTGCGTTTGTCGCGCACAAAGACCCCGGTACGCCTTAAAGCTGTCCATATAGTTTGAAGGTGTCCATTGAAGGCTATGATGCTGGGTTGATACGGTGGTGTCGAATCCTTGCATAAGTCTGGTAGCGTGACTAAATGATTCGAGCGATTTGTCAAAGATATAGAATGGTCGGAGTGGTAGAATGAGACTCTGAGGGCCCAGAAACTTCTGAGGATATTCATGACGGCAAGTGTTGTTATGACTTTTGCTATTTCAAGATTTTCATCGCGTGAATCCAAAGCTCGCTTATATGCTCCGTGAATGATGAGATGAAATAATGACTTCTTTGTGAACCACGCTCTAAGCTCGAACGATGGATGAATCTTATTCAAGCGAGAAATGGCGCTGTTTACGGCTACGATTGGTCTAGAAAAATAATCCAGCTCATACAGAGAGAATGGTATGCTCTCATCGGGCCGTTTATATTAGTCGATGAGGATCTACCTTGCTCATTTGCTAAGTTTACCATATGTTACTAAATACAAACGCGGAAGAACAACGGGACAAAAGCAGTCACATAAAATTGATTAGGGGAAAGACGTACGTCAGACCAGAGTTCGGGAATTTAGAACTAGCGCCATTATTCTGCGCTATTGCGCCATGCAATCTTCGATCTTTCTCGATATTAGACAGATTCAAAGATCGAGAGTTATTCAAAGCGGAAATTCGTCCATTCGAGCTGCGCATAGATGCTGGTTTGACCTTCCAGGTTAGCAAGCACAAAATCACGATTTCGCGCAGGTCCTTTGAAGTCAGAGGGAGGTATTCGAAAGTTCCTAAGAGATGTGAAGTTGAAGGATATGAGATTGAATTATGTAAATAGGGCTTCAACCACGGAACCTTCAAATGATGTTTCGATTCAAGGCCGGTTGACATGAAGGCTGCAGATGCTTTCGGGCGCTAAGCCCGGCCACAAACTCATATCACACGCGCCGACGTGTCTCATTCACTGTTCTCTCAAAAGTTTTGAAGGCTGATCGGAATTTTGTCTATCTCTCAATGAGTCCGTTCTCCAGCTATAGGAGAGTAATAGCTCTTGCGTAACTGGTACTATAAAACGGGATCCCTGGAAGCAGGTAGGGGAAAATGTCGTCTTCGATGATAGAGTTGAAATGAAGTTTCAATGAGCTTAAAGATCTAATCATTTGCACAAATTTTACCCAAGGTAAGAGTACGTATTGTTTCGCTGTACTGCGGTCTAGAATCCGCACGTCTTGACAAGTGTGAGTACTCATGGCGGCGCGCATATGAGACGATCCAGAAGACATTGGAGATTTCAACGAAGCAATCATACACCTGATGATCGCTGTCTTCGAGATATGTAACATCGTAACAATTCTCTACAGCGTTTTCTATGAGGCAGTTTATGGTGACGGGCTGTGAGGCAACCATTCTGCAGTAGCGAAGATCCACGATGATTGAGTCTTGGGAATAGTTGTAGTCAAATCACACAATGGCACACTTTTCTTGGCGAAAAGCCTTGACCTTACGCATGTAGAAGGGTGGTATACATTGTACAAAATTAAAAATTGCATAAGAAATAGTAATGTATGATCAAGATTCTGAAGGCTACGTTGTTTGGTGAATAAAATGTAACTTTGCGCACGTGTTGCAACCCATAGGTGAAGAAGGCAAGATGAAATTGAAATCAGAGAGGCTTACTAGCACAAGATATTAGCATTACTGATGGTTTTGTATTCATGAACTTCTGGTGTAGTTTGATACATTCCTTGCTGGATTCACAGAGCCTGAGTCAGCTTCGGCGCAGATCCAGCCACTAGACTTTCTAAACAAATTTCTCGATCAATCAATGTTTGATGGACAAGGCCAATTCTTCAGGGTTTTCAAGCATAGGCCGATGGAAACAGTCCAGTTACTTGATCTGCAAATCAGGTAAGAACCCTTGTGCCCAAGGTGCTCTGATGGCACTGGTGAAACAAAGCTGATCTTTACTAGGACCAATGAACAGGGCTGGCACTTTGACAACCAGAAGATCAGGATCGAGCTCACTCTCAGTAGCTGGAGTGATACCGCCTACTATGGCCTTATACCAGCACAATGGCCCTTCAAATCCATTCTTCTCCATCCGTAAGAGCCACTCTCTTTTCAGATTCTTTCCCGCGAGCTGATAATCGCAGTGAAGGCTTTTCTCGTCGTCCTCAAGAAAGCTCTGGAGTGCGCCTTTGGTGGAGTAGAGGCTGCTGCGGAGTTCTTCGCGTAATGAGTGAATTACATACCACAAGCTATCTAAGTGAGCAGAGCAGATAGCAGATGCAGCTTCAGAGGCATAAAACCCCCAGTAGCTCCAACGTTGAAGACCCGTGGCGCGCTCAGCAGTGGCGTTAAATTGGTCAAAGTCAAAATCGCGATCCAAGCGCGGAAAGTATGCGACATTCAGCATGACAAGGCCAGCGACACGCTCAGGGGCCCAAAAGTATAGACGCTGCCCCAGGAATGAGCCCCAGTCGTGACCAATGACGATGGTATGCGTAATGCCTTCTGCGGCGAGTATCTCGGCCAGATCGAAAGCCATGGACTTTGAGCTGTATGCTGTTGGGTCTTCAGGCTTGGCAGTGTCGCCATAGCCAAGGAGATCTGGTATGAGGATGTGGTAGCCAGAGGATAGCAGCTTTGGCACAACTTGGGACTATATTCCTGCCGAATCTGGATAGCCATGGAGCAACAGAAGAGAGGAGCTGGGGTTCGACCGCTCTGTTGTTATGGAGGAAGAGTCATAAAAGATACATGTCAGAGACCTGGAGGTCGTAAAAGATTTCCGATCAAACTTATCAATGTGCAGCGAGGATAATTCCGTGTCTTGCCTATGTAGTCGTTGCCTCGAGCCTCCCTTTTGTTCTTTACGGCGGCTACTTCGACAGGAAAATGACAAGAGCACCCATCCCACATAACGGCATACTTTGATTTAAAATGACTACTGTTGACAATTTTTGGGATTTGAATGCTCAGACGTTGTAAGGTGATCCACTAAATATGGTGTCAGTGAGAGAGGTATTTACGTTCGAGGATTATGCCGAAGCCGTTATCATAGCCCGGGTTAGAGTTGTTCGATTGGGTACGGAGACCAAACTCTAGACACAAGTGCACGCATTGTATAGTGGAGGCTGTGCTTATACACTGCATGAGGTTTCAACAGATCCGTTCCATCAAGTAGAAGCTTATCAAGGCCACATAGCCAAGTAGGTGCAAACAACACGTCATCGCTCATATATACCCAAAGACAACTCCACTCAGCTACTGCAGCTTATCTGTATTTAGATAAGCTCATACGTAGCTCACGAGGTCCAAACAGTCCAGCGTCTCATTTCAACATAGCATATATTTTCCATTGAAGAAACCTCAATCGTAAGATGTTCACCGTACTCTTGTATGCCTGTGTAGATATAACTTTGCAAATCGCAGGCAAGACATCTAAGGTAGGACAATCTTTTTGTATAATCACTTAAGATTCGTGCACGCTATAGGTGATTAGATCTTTCGCTAAGTGCATATCACAAGTAACGAGGATACTCTTCTTCTGACCGTGTGTCTTGGCTTCAAGTCACTGGTAGCTTTCAGTTTCGGGTCAATGCGGCCGAGGGTTCATTGAACCCTATGCTAAGTCCGCAATAGTATGACCGCTCATCAGTGCGACATGCAGTTTGATATCAGGCACCCAAGACGATCAATGGACGGCAATCGAACGGCATTCAATATATCGGGGGACGGAAGCGCCCAGCATAACAGGAGCTATAAAGACAGAGATGCCATGCAAATCTTCGTGCAAGATGATTGGTACTAATTACATGTGGTAATTTTGGTGATGCATGACGTGACTGCAAGCCGGGACGTTGCATTCCTGATTACGGGCCGCGCAGATCCTCCATGGCCCACCAAATAGCGTCTGGAGTAGGGCCTGATGGCGTCCCGTCGCAAGATGATTGGAAGAGCATGAATGAGATTATCGAGAAGAAAAGAGCTCAGAACCGTTTAGCGCAGCGAAATTATCGTACGTGTGTCACAGAAATCGCTCGCATTAGGCTGATAAGGTTTCAGGTCGAAATGTCAAGCGAAGGATCGAGGACTTGGAGCAACAGGCGGCAACGCAAGCCAGATTGCTGGCGCTAAAGGATGAAGGAACAGTAACTTGCAATCAAGCAATCTTGCCGCACACCGCTGGAGATATTCATTCAAGCATGGATAGTAATCTTGACGCATTGAGTAAAGAATTGGGAAAGGTATGGCACATCTCAATGCATTACCAAACTCGAGATGTTGACTTTCATTACACCGGAGAAAAGCCCGCCGCTGTCTACTCCCAAAAGTCAGCTTTTTATAAATTCAGAAGGCACTTGTTACATCAGATAAGACCATCGATAACATGTGGTATTGCCATACGCAAGAACATGGCAATGAACAGAACAAAGACTTCTACGCTCATCTGGGCACGCAAGTAGTCGACGTGCTCCCTGTTTCAATGCAAAGTGCGTGTTCCCAACTTTTTTTTCTATCCATGCTGAGATGGACAGTTGAAGAGAATTCCCAGCCAAGAAACGAGACGCATCGCGACCCTATGAGTCCAGAATCCCCTACTCAATACACCAACCCCGATGTCAGAATGCTCAACGACATACACATCAACTCGCCCATTGAGCCTTTTCAATTCTCCCGGGACCATGTTCAGGGTCGCAAGACTGTGGACAAATGGCATGGGACTGAGCGTGCGAGTGACTCACCTGGCTCAATGGGCGAAGACGCACTATTGACTGATGGTGATGCAACGTTTGAGTAAATAATAGAAGGGAAGATTGAGTACCTAATCCGCTGTGCTCCTAGAGCAGGATTTCAGGACCTTGATTTAGCTATAACCACTTTCTACACAGCTTAGTTCGACGAAGACTTGGAATGCTCGAACCGCTTTGGGCTGACATGCATGGCCGGTTGAAGTCCAGGGGGGGTCTCTATTCGTAGCGTCTGAATTGCAGACGTGGCAAACCAAGGAGCCAGTGGCGTACTCGATAAATACAAGCTGGGAAATGAGCGTAATTAGCCCCATGCCTTTGTCCCTCAGCCCTCAGGGAAAGACGGAACAGAACAGTCCAGACCAGCATACTGATACAAACAGGCAGCCTGCGTATTCAATCATGCCCGGGATCTCCTCCACATGGTCAACACATTTCGCGACCAAATAATACGCCCTATTGTTGGCATTGGCCACAGCGCGCGTGGCCCTATCCTCGTTAGCCTCGCACTCCTCCAGCCACGCCTCGTACTAGAGACTCTGATCCTCATTGACCCCATCATTCACCGGCACGTGTTTGCGGCGGGCTACTGCACGCCTGCGCTCGCTTCGGCCCCTCGACGCGATGAGTGGCCGTCCCGTTTCCGCTGCGACCGAAGACTTTCGCAAGAATAAGTATTATAGCAAATGGGATGAGCGCGTGTTGCAGCGGTGGCTGCAGTACGGCTTGCGCAATCTACCCACGGCTGTGTACCCACGCCACATCCAAGTGGCCGGAACTGAAGCTCACGTGACGCATGAAGACGCCTCTGCCGACACTGTCACGCTCACTACAACAAAGCACCAGGAAGTCTTCACTTTCCTCCGGCCAACATTCGATGCACATGCATACCCTGGGCTCGGCGTGCGAGCCGACTGCTGACAAGGTCGAGTCGACGGGTGTGGGCATCGGCGGAAGCGGCGGTGCAGCCAAGGGCTGGGTAGCCGAGGTGACGGTCCAGGGTGTAGGCCATCTCATCCCGACGGAGGCTGTTGGCGAAACGGCGGATCCTAGTGTCGAGTGGCTAGGAAACGAGATGGCAGCATGGAGAGAAAAAGAGATCGTCGAGCGAAGTGAATGGGCGTACATTCCGGATGAGCAAAAGCGAACGATTAGTGATCAGTATATTGAGGCTTTGAGAGGCGAGACGAAATCTGATACTGCACGACTTTCGAGACTTTGATTGTATAGCTTACTGGACGCGATAGAAGAATACAATGACTCAAATGCTGTTTACTCTTACCTCGTCGTATCTTACAACGATCGATACTGGCGTTAAGTACAAGAACTGTAAATTTCAAAGGTACAAAGAACAAAGTCGATAACGGTGACCGATGTCCAGATCACATCTAACGTGAAAGATGCCGATACAATCTAGATTTGGGTGTATTTGATATAAAGACTTAGTCACAGCGTGAAGTGTGTGTGACGTAATGATACTAGAAGAGCTACCTACGACCATGCTGTTTTGTGTCTCATCTTTTGACAGAAAAGGCGGTGTGTGATAAATTGTGATCTGAAAGCTTCGGTAAACCTAATCATTCTGGAAAGTGACGATCAACGGTTCGAAGGGTTTTTTTTTCAAGGATATTGATTATGTGCATTATTAGTCTATATGTATGTACACGCTGAAAACAGTAAGAAGAGATCGGCATGAGCGCAAAAAACAAACATTATTCTGTCCCATCAATCCATCATTAGTTCATGGCTAGACATGTTCACAACCTTACAAGCCCATGGCGATGGCACCAAAGACAATAGCGAAAATGCCGCCCGCTACTTTCTCAGCTGATGCGGCGCCAGTGAACTCTGGGGTGCCGGACGAAGTGGTGGAGGGAGTGTGAGATGGGTGCACGGTACCGTTTCCACTCGAGCCGGAAGAAGGAGTAGGCTGGACACTCAGGGTTCCTGGGACTGGGGTGGAAGAAGCCACAGGCAGACCAGAGGAAGACATACGAAGACCGTTGCAAATGCCGTTGTTGCAAGTGTTGTAGGCGCACTGCGCATCGGTCTTGCATGCGGCGTTGAAGTTACCACATTTCGCGATCAAACCGGCGTTGCTGGCCCAGCACTCCACACCCGCCATACACTGGCTAGGGGTGACATAGGGATTGCACTCAGCGCCCAGAGCAAGAGATCCAGCGGGCGCACTAATCGTCGGTGATGGGGCAGGGCTCCATCCGGGCGCAGCTGAGCTTGTGACGGTCGGTGGGGTTGAGGAAGAAGCCTTTGGGCCACTGCAGAAGCCGCCGTTGCAGGTGTTGTATGCACATTGGGCATCGCTGGTGCAAGAAGACTGGAAGTTTCCGCATCGTGGCTGAAGCATCGAGTTGGTAGCGTAGCAATTGGCACCATTAGCACATGGGGTGCCACCTGGAGTGCACTGCTCGCCCAGGGGAATGGGAGTTGTAGCCGGTGGAGTGGAAGAAGGGACTGGTGCAGAAGAAGGCTTGGGGCCATTGCACAAGCCACCATTACAGGTATTGAATGCACATTGCGCGTCGCTGGTGCATGATGATTGGAAGTTTCCGCATCGGGGCTGGAGCATCGAGTTGGTGGCATAGCAGTTGGCACCGCCGGCACACGGAGTACCGCCTGGAGTACAATTCTCCCCGAGAGGAATTGTAGACTGGGCCGAGGCAAGGACGCCGGCTGCGGCCAGAGCAAAGAAAGAGTAGCGCATGGTGAGGGTTGCGGATATGCTGAAGTTGAGACAATAAGCGAAGGGTATCGAAATGCTTCGAAGAAACGAGAGTAGTTGTAATTAGATGGTGGTAATATGGAGCAGACTGGTGATGGAGGATGACAAGCGGGCCTGCCCAGTCTGCTTTATACTTTTGGACATTCGTATTACCACAAAGTCTAAAAGCGTAATACGAGGCTGGTGATGCGGCCCGACCTGACTTGGCGCTCGTAGCCCATAGTTACCCGCTTTGGGGTTCGCCACGTGATGGTCAGGCGGTGAGCCAATCAGCGTCTGTGCTGCACAGCCCAAAATAGAAATCGTGCGTCATGCCATCCTCAGCTAGCCGCCTTCAGCTCTCAGGGTAGCATTCCAGAGTGTCGCCAACAGCGGGCATACCGAATGGGACGCTATTTACGTACATGACCTTCGTACTATTGACGAGCTACACACTTTTTTTACAGCCCCAGTCCCACGTACCTCGACCGAGCACCTCAAAGCGAACACTGAGCTGCCGTGCCTATGCTACTCTGTTTCCAAGCGCAAAAACATGGCTTTTCCATGTTGCAAATGCGGCCTAGCGCCACCAACCACGTACTGCTCACGCTGCGTCCAGGCACGTGCCATTACGTATTCACATCTGATCTTGACCATCTTGTCTGAAGACTGCACCACTAGCAGCGTCGATCGGTACTAACCGAGTACACTTGCGTGTGAGCTTAACTAGAGCATCGCCGAATCAAAACAACAGAGCTTTCCATCCAATGCCATGATTTTTGTCGCAGCAACCAGGCAACATGCATGCGGGGTTACTGGATCGGAAGCTGTAGCCCAGGGCATGTGGGTGGTTCCAAGGGCATTGTGCCACAGTGACATGTATGTGGGCGCATTGATGAAAAATGAGCGAATAACGGCGAGGTGGCTGTGCAAGGTACGACTAGCGGATCATCTAGCTGCTGACGAGAACCAAAGCTAGGATAGCGGGGTTCGTTGATGCTCGCAGACCCACCATGCCTCGTTCTGCTCGTGTCCCGTCTTCTCCTTTCTAAGTTTTCTTGTCAGCGCCGTCATGTTGACACTGTCCCTATGGCACACCTTACAGAGTCATAGTATCCAGACTATCGTATCAGTGCTGACTGTATTCATGGAAAGGTTCAAAAACAACCACATTGACCGGCTGTTCATGTGTCTAGAAGACACAATTTAGTTCCCTGGCCAGACCACGACTACGACCACTCGTGTCTGGAGCTATCTAGCTTGTAATACGAAGCTTGCCTGATGCAGTACTACTACGAAAATAGTTCGATATTTGTGAAATGTTCTCACGCTGCATCAAGTCTCCACCTCCGACCCAAGGATCGAACAACACATCCACTGTTACATCTCTGCCTGCATTGTCGTGACGTCGCGCAGCGTGTACCCCGCCAATCCAGACAGGCGGTAGTATCGAGTAGGATTTCCCGAAGTAGCTGCCTCTTTGCTCGAAAGAATCGCGTATGCGACATATATCCGACAACGGATATAGTAGTAGATCTGGACTGTGCTCGACCACAGACGTCGTGCATCTTACTTACGACAACACCAGACCCAGCTTCGTCAGGAGTGGCTGTAATACGAAACTCCTCGGGTCCCCGCATGACGTGGCCGGCGAACCATGGGAGAGCGAATATTTGTTTCAACGATGCATCAATATAATCAACGCAATAATATAACTCTTTTTCTCTGCCCTAGCCTGTAAACGTGTAATGGGCAATCAGCCAACGCACTGGATCTGCAGGCCTTGGCCTTGGCTTTTTCTACCACTCGCACTTCTGTGTAGTATACATGTTTACTTGGAAGAGTAGCTTCACATCTTTCGTCAACGTATCCAAAACTACAAGGGATGATGTGGTGATCGTCAATGCGGCATTAATTGGCATGTGTAGCCAGCGAACGGTCCCAGTCTTAACAGAGCCCCAGCGAACACCACCAATGGAAAAGGCGGACCCTCGAGGGAAATGGGGACTAAAGTCGGCCGCACTGCAGCAGCACACAAGACATGGTGTTTGGCAGCGTTTTCTTTTATTGAAACTTCCTACACTTGCAAAACTTCCATTCTCGCATCGCTCTTCTGCAGTGCGCTAGACATCTTTGGGGCGTTATGATGCCTGAATGCAATTACATAGAGGTCAGAATGGAATTTCCTGTGTACTCTTAGTAATTCAAGATAACTTATCCTAGCTGTTTCAAAGAAGGAACAGTGAAATTTGCGCCTGCTTTGGAGCTTGACTACATATCCTATAGGAATCAATGCATTGATATGCGCTAATGACCCAAGTTGGGAGTTTGATGACATTTGTGGCATGGTGAAAGAACATGAATAGCACTTTCAGATGTACATGAAAATAGCGTCTCGCAGAGATTAACCCGAATCCTTTTAGCATATACCTTGATTGCAAAGTGAATCTTTTGATACCCGATTCCGGATGCAATTATTCCTTAATTGGGTCAATGTGAGATTGAGTTGCATTAAATCTACAAGCTTTATTGTAGCAAAGAGAGTGCTGGAAGACGGCAGTACCATCCATATTTGTTTTGAACGTGGAGAAGTTCTGAAATTCTTCGCATGGATAATGTGTGCAGTATATAATTCAGAACAAGCCAGCTACCCAACTCAGGATGGGCAGTTGAGTGATATCTGGCCTGCAAGTCATTCCTGCTTTTTTTACATGCACATCTGCGCCAAGAATGACGAGAAAGATTTGCACATTGTTTCCTTCCACAATATACTCAATTCACGAGTGTTTGCAAAACTATTGCCTTTCCAAGGCAACTCTCGTCTTGTATCACCTAATTTCAGGCCGACTTTTTATCTGCAACAACAATCAGCTCCCACGCACGCCCACCGACCATATCTGCCTCTTGCTCTTGTACAGTCCAGTTGGCAAAGCATGGCCTGTAGTCGTCCCAATCGGCCTTGGGTCCTGCCCATATTATCCTCTCCACAGCCCCCTGGCCGTACACGGCCAGATATTCCTGAATCAGGCCAACGCGTCTTGGATACACAAACAGCCAGATCTGGGCTTGTTCCGCCAAGGGTTCGAGGAAGCGGGTACCATTGACCAGGCGGTAGTGGGAGGAGGGAAGGTATTTGTTAGGGCCCGGCGCAACCTCCACACCGATGATATGAAAGGTATCAGGGCCAGTCATGAGATATGCTTCAAGGAGGCCAAAGCCGCTTCCTATCGAGAGTGTGATACATGGCGGCGGGGCGAGGAGGGTTTGGAGGTATGCGATGAGCTGGGGACTAAGGGCGAGGCAGCTACCAGAGTAGGCAGTTGGCGTAGCGACAAGTCTTGGGAGGGGCGGCAACACGGGCGCAGTCAAGACCGCATTTGCGCCCCTATAGATATCCATGTCTGTATCCGTATCCCCATTCACGTCTCGTGACGTGTCGTCGTAGTGTTGAATATTGACTGCTTCCTCAGACGACATGGTCAGTCCGAGGGCTGCTACCACCTGTGAATAGAGACTGCATCGATGGGCGTACGTGATGGATGCATCAATTGGGCGCTACGTGATTGCTCGGACATGTCTATGTAGTCCCCGTTTCTCCATCTCATCGACGGCGGAGGGCGGGGTTGAGATGAAATGAGACGAGACGAGCGTGTGGGGGAATGGAAAAGGGCAGTTTCTTGGCAGTCGCGCGGCGGCAGGAGCTATGGAGCTATGACCCACGACACCTGCACATGCATGCACAAGGCCCGCACCCGCCCATCGTGGACCCATAGAGACCTCAACACCACCCCAGCCTCTCCACTTCGCGTCATCGCGGTGACTGCTCTGCTGCCGTTGCCTCGTCTGCGACTCAACGAGCCTATGCACGCGGCTCCACAGGCGCAGCCATGGCCCGCTATAACCCCTTCTCCTTCACGCCTGCGCCCGTCATCTTCTTCACCACCGCCCTCTACGTCGGTCTGTTAGCTGTTCTGCTCACTACCCACCTGACCGTCCCGGACTATCCCTCGCATCCTCCTCCGGGTATCAACCTTTCCCAAGCTTGGGCAGACCTCCAACACATCACCCGCTTCTTTCATCCGTACAATAGCCATGCTAATGATGACGTGCATCAATACCTTCTCTCACGCATCCAGGCCATCGTCGCTGAAAAGGATGTCCAGCCTGGCCAGATTGAAGTGCTCAATGATTCAACCGCAAATGTCACCTTCTCATCCGGCACCACTTCTGTTTATTTTGAAGGGACCAATCTGATCGTCGCCATCCGTGGCTCCCAGGACGATGAACCCTTCAACTCCGCTGAGCGCAGACCAGACAATGGCGGCGTTCTTGTCAATGCACACTATGACTCTGTGAGCTCCGGCTACGGAGCAACTGACGATGGCGTCGGTGTTGTAACAGTACTCCAGCTCCTCTCGTACTTTACTGAATCCCGCAACTGGCCCAAGCGGACGATACTTCTTTTGCTGAACAACGGCGAAGAAGACTACCTGAATGGCGCCAGGGCTTTCATGAGAAATCCCATCTCTCAAGTTCCCCATACTTTTGTCAACCTGGAGGGCGTTGGTGCTGGTGGCCGAGCTGCCCTCTTTAGAAGCACAGACACTGAAGTGACGCGCTTCTATAGAAAGTCGAAACATCCTTATGGAACAGTTGTGAGCGGCGATGGCTTCAAAAAGGGCCTCGTTCGTAGTGAGACCGATTATCGCGTCTTCCATGGCGATCTTGGTCTCCGGGGGCTTGACATCGCTTTCCTGGAGCCCAGAGCACGGTACCATACAATCGAAGACTCCGCACGAGAAACATCCATAAAGTCCATTTGGCACATGCTATCGGCAGCTTTGGCTTCAACTGCCGGACTGGCCTCTGTAACCGGTACCCAGTTCAGTGGCCCGGAGACTGTTGACAATGGCAGAGTTAATGCAGGCACTGGCAGCGACAGCGTCTGGTTCGATCTTTTCGGCAAAGTTTTTGTTGTGTTTCGTCTACACACTCTGTTCGCGTTATGTGTCACCATGTTGGTGGTCGCGCCTCTTGTCCTCATTGGCCTTACTGTGGGACTTTCACGGCTTGACAAGAATTACCTGTTTGCTCGCAAGGCATACGTCTACTCGCCAGATGATGACCATCCAGTACACCTTTACGGTTGGCGAGGCTTCTTCCGATTCCCCATCATCTTTGTTGCTGCCACAGCCATCGTCGTCGCCTTAGCTTATCTCATCGTTCGTTTCAATGCCATGATCATCTATAGCAGCCCCTTTGCTGTCTGGAGGTAAGTCAGCTGGACACCTGCCTGTTCCGTCGCTGACCTCAGTAACAGTATGATGCTCTCTGCTTGGTTCACAGTCGCCTGGTTCTTGTCCCGTGGCGCAGACGCCATGCGACCCTCTGCTCTTCAGCGCATGTACGCATTGATATGGTTGTTCATCGGGTCCTTCATCCTCCTCATCGTGGTCACCGTCTTCGTCAACAATTACCAAGTAGCAGGCGGCTACCCGATGCTCTTCTACTTTGCTGCCGTATTCGTCGCCATCCTACTCTCATATCTAGAGCTCTTCTTTGCACCGACAAAATCCGCGTACGCACGTCATATCGATCAAGCGAACCACTTGCGTCAAGATTCAGAAGCCACCAGTCGCCCTGTCACTGGTAGTACCAGCGCGTCACGGTCGGACGAGCGCGCAGTACCAGATGAGGATGCGACTGAAACTACATCTCTGTTGCGCGGTAATCGCCGCGGGTTCGCAAGATACGGAACCAGGCGAGACTCCACCAGCGACGGAAGCGACGATCATGCACGGCGAATGGATCCCGGGACTGTTTATCCTGGGGAGCAGGAGTGGAGCGGCAAATTACCAAGCTGGATCTGGATCATCCAACTGCTGCTCTTGGCGCCCATCGTCATCATCTTAGTCGGACAGGTGGCTCTGCTTCTGACATCGGCTCTCTACCAGACGCCGTCAGATGGCAACTCGACATTGTTCATCTACCTCGCTATTGCGTCGCTCAGCGTGCTGTTGCTGACGCCCATCGGCCCATTCATTCACCGTTTCACCTACCATGTCCCGACCTTTCTATTCCTCATCTGTGTTGGGACTGTCATTTACAATCTGGTGGCATTCCCCTTCAGCAGGGATCATCGCTTAAAGGTCTACTTTGTTCAGCGAGTCAACTGTGAGACAGGTGTCAATACCGTATCCCTGACTGGTGTGGATGGCTACGTGCAGCGCATTGTCAGCGAAATACCCAGTGCGCAAGGCACGCAGGTCAGTTGCATGACGCCTGACGTTGCGACACGTAAGGAGCTCAAGACGTGCGAATGGCAGGGCCCACCGGCCAAAGTAGTCTCGACCACAGCCACAGCCCGAACTCTATCGGATCACAAGCCCGCAACCGACGAATGGATCGATTACACGATTTCCAAGAGCAACAGCTCCAACTCAGCGACAATACGTGTCATCGGCCAAAACACGCGAGCATGCCGGATTCTGTTCGACTCCCCCATCACCGACCTAGCCGTTGCTGGCGCCGTTTCAGATCCCCGCTTTAAGCCTGTTGGCACAGCGGGATCCCGGGAAGTGCGCCTCTGGCATCGTAAATTTGGTCAGCCCTGGAACGTAAGCGTGAAATGGAACGCCGAAGAACAATCCAAGCTTTCTGGAAGGGTTGTGTGTCTGTGGTCGGATGCCAACGCCGGTGACATCCCTGCTTTTGATGAGGTACAGCATTACCTCCCTGTATGGGCGATACCGTCGAAGATTAGCGACGGCTTGGTCGAGGGTTTTAAGCGGTTCGAATTTTGAGTATTAAGTACTCTGCTCTGGATGCTACTGCGGGAATCCCTGTCGCATTGTTCATTGGTGATCTGACGATCTTGTGTTTGGATGCATCCCTCCAAGGTGTCGCGGGTCAACTGTTTTGTTATGCGCATCTTCTATGAACTCGTTAACGCTCCAGCTGATGTGTTCCCTTTAGGTCTCTGTCATTTTTGTTGACTAGATATTACTCCCTGACTTAGCGGCCTTTTCTCCCTATTCTTTCATCGCATTGCATCTTGGCTAGTTGTATACATAACAAATACCACGAATTTAACTCTAAACGCCTAAAACTGAACACATCCCTGATCCTGGATCACTCCCCGCCCGGTTCACCAATCCGAACAGTTCTTTTCCAGCCTTATGCCCACCTGACCGGGTCTGGCTTGTACCAGTATGACAACAGTCTGCAAAGTGGCCCGGTGCCATGCACAATGCTACCCGCTGCTGATCGCTGCCGGGTCGGTAGTCGTCATGCTTGCTGGCTTTCTTTTGTTTGGTGGCTGGACTACTTTATTGTCCACAGAGCCATTTCTTCCAAGAGCTTCATCGACGTTGGCATTCAACCCGAACTCTACGGCCACACCCCCCATCTGCATCGCGTACGATCCATTGGTATTTGATCCGCCAGCATCGAAACCAGGTATTTACATACGATCAATTTGCTATTTACGTGTATGATTTGTATTGACAGCACGCTAATCCTTAGTGCAGTCGACGAGCCGTTAACGGCTATAATCTACCGATTGATCGCCTCCACACGCAACGCACTTCAAGCAAACGCATCTAAATCAGGAGAAGAGCTTCGTTCCAAAGGGCTCTTTGGAGCACTCGACTTTGCTTTTGATCTGTCCTTTTGGACGGTGATCATCGCGGTTCTGCTTACCGCGTCTATCTTACGCATCAGAGACTCGCCACGTCCGTGGGCGAGTAGACATCAAACATCCCTCGGAAACGTTTTGCAATTTCTGGGCGTCCTTTTTTGCGCCAGCCGCAAGTTTGAAGGCCGCCATTCACTGGTGTTGGTTTTTGTCATGGTTGCGTTTGACCTGTTTCAGCACGCGGTCGGCTGTACGCCGTTCGACGCTATCGTTGGCGGCGAATCACATCATTTACCCCAGCAAACATCGCCTTCTGAAACCCCAGATACCGAGACCCGCACAACATCTGCCAACGCAAGTGCCGCAATTACCGGAACCAGAAACCTCATACCTGCCTTAGCGCAAAGGTCAAGCACATCCGACACAAGCCTAATAACTTTTGACGCCAAAGATAGAGAAATTGTGCGATTGCAACGCTCCCTCTCAGAATTAAAGACTGCCCACAAAGCCACCGAAACCCAGCTTCGTATTTCAAAGGAGGAACTCTTTAATGCGCGCGAGACACTTAATGGGACATTTGCCGAGTATGCCAACCTACGCGAGGAACTGAAGATCATCAAGCAGAATCTAGGAAGGGACCACCAAGCCATTGTATACCGGAAAGACATTGAACTCTTTGCACTCCGCAAAGGCAACGAGCAAAAGGACGCGTGCATTAAGGAGCGTGACGCCAGGTTAGAAGAGATGGCTCGGCAACACAAGGCCAAGATAGAGGTAAGGGATGCCCAGTTGAGGCTGATGAAGGAGCGAATCATCTCAATAGAACGACAAGCGGACCTGGGACTTTGCGATGAGGCGGATGAAGGCGACCATGCGCTTGAGGTACGATTACTGCGAGTTCGAAAGGGTCGAGATTCGAAAGGTGGAGAGGAAGACAAGGACCTTATCATCGCCAAACTCCAAGACCAACTAGCTGCCATTGCGAAACCCAACGAGTATGTTGTCAATCATCAAGCCGAGTTATCAAGGGCATGGGATGTGGCGAAGAAGACAAAGAAGGCCCTCAAGGAGGAGCGCGAAAGACACGTTCAGACACAGGAAAAGCTAGAGGAGATGACTATCAGGCTTGCAGAAGCAGACTCACAATCTGAAAGCCGAGGAAGCCCTCTACCCGGTCGCTTACCCACGATCAATGAGAACGATCACGACAAGAATGAGCTTGAGGCCATGTTTGATACCACCCAAGAAGAAAACCTTCGGCTTTATGCGGAAGTGACGGCCCTCGAAAAGCGGCTAGCTGACGCAAACACACGAATGTTTGCTGCTATCCGAGAATCTGAAGCGTTCCGAGAGCAGTACAAATCGGAGCAACCCGTCAATGAAGATGCGAAGACTGTGCGCCCAAGTCTGGTCCATCACGTACATTTCCAGCGCATGGAAGATCAACTGGTCGAACTCCGACGCACGCTCAAAGTCAAAGAAGAAGAGGCGAAAAGGTTTAGGAAAACAATTGCGGACAAGGATCAGCATATCAAGGAGATACAAGGAGAGCTTGATGCCGCCGCTACCTTCCACACTCAAGACCAAGATGAGATCGAGCGTCTGAAGCAGTCCATCGCAGAGCTCCAAGCTACGAAATACCAACTCATGCTCGACCGTGAGCGACTTGTGACGCATCGTCCTCGCCAACGGGTGCTTTCAACGGAGCGTACTGAACGCACATCCGCCCGTTCTAGTGGCGCAACTCTGATTCAAGAAATGAGCCCGCCATCATCAACGCCCTCGGAAGATAACAGCTCTACACCAGTACCCCAAGAGGTCGAAGTCCAAGAACGTGAAGGAAGCATCCAACAAACACCAGTGCGACATGTCCGGGGCAAGCGTTCGGTAAAGAGCATCAACACGCGCTGGAACCTGATGTCCCAAGACCTGCCACCCCCCGAGCTCCGAGCTGCAAAAGGCACGCGCAGCAAAAGCGCAAGTTTCAAAGATGTAATGCAAAAAATGGTGGGGTCCAAAACACAAGACTCAGTCATCCGCCGCGTCCTCGTCCCAAAGGACAAGAATGCCGCCACGCCACGCCCCTCAACCTCTGCTTCCATCAAACCCCCAAAGCCCATAGAGCGGTCTTCAACGACGACCCCACCCGCTACCTCTCCTGTTCCTCAAAACCTGAGCGTCCCCACCAAACCAAAACGCACAAGTCTGACACAGCAACAACGGTACTACGCCGCGCGCGATGCGTCGATTATGGCAACCCCAGCCGCGTCGGTAAGGCCGCATACGGCAAATGAGGTTGAAGGACAGAGGCCGAAGAGTAGGTATAGTTGGGGTGCTACGTAAGTTTCTCGTATCCTTTTCAATTTCTTGCGAATTTGTACTAACGGTGGAGTAGAAGAAAACTGAAGCGGAGGTCGCTTATGTGATGACCTGGTAGTGCATAAACAATGATATTTTTTCCTGTTTTTGGTTTTTTTGATGATTGTTTCATGCGTGGGTGGATGGTATAAGGGGTTACGAGGTTATGGATTCTTTCACGTTACATGATTGATTTTTTGGATTCTTGGATCGGGCATACGGGGGGTGAAGGCGTAATATTAGACTGGGCTGGGTGGAAAAGGGTATTCGCGGGCATGTTATTTTTCATCCATTCTTGCATTAGGGGTCGCGGTTGATTGGGAGTATGGGGCTGGAGTAGTATTCGCGTGGTATGTTTGGCTTCGCGGATGTGGTTGGGTGGCGCGGGATGTGTCTAAGCGATTGGGAACTTGATTTATTCCCACCGCGGTTTTGATGCCCTGACAACAATGATATGGCATGCTGTCAATTCAATTTGCATACCCTGAGCCCCCCTTTTTGGCCTTGAGACTCTACGTACATGATGGGAGAGTACCTCCACTACTTAGGTAACAAGAGGATTTCCATCGCATATTATAACCCCCGTTCGTGTTCATTACCACCAAGCAGACATAAAGCATCAAGTTCACAAGAGGGTTCGGTCTAGGGATCTGATTCATTTTGATCCTTAGAACGGTATGAAGTACGTGGAGACATGGTGACCTCAACAGTAATGCTTGTGTACCGGCGTGAATGTGTGACATGAAGATCAAGCTGTAACAAATAGTACCAAACACATCGGAAAACACGGAATCAGTATAATGTAAGCAGCGGTGTGCGAGAAGGAAATAACCAGTGGTGGAAGGCCTGGCAGGGCTTCATGTTATCAGAAGATTGGTCCAGCTCATTCTGATAAAGCGGTGACGTTAGCAGAAACAACTCGAGACATCTGACATGTGAATGATAAGTCACAAGTCCAGCCCATTCCCCACTGATAGCATGCCGCCAGTGTTCCAACAAGGCAGCAAAACTTCACCTTCCATCTGTCCGGGCCAGTAGGCGCTTCTTCCAGGCGAAAAACAAAGAGTCATTGTTGACCCGCACCGGCCAACAAACTGAATGATTTTCAACTTAGCAAGAAAAACACTGTTTGGCCGATTGTCAAGTCTGGGCTATGACGAGGCTCAACATGGGCCCTGAAAATCTCAGCCGCGCTAGCGGCTAACAGTGGGTCTTTCACACGTTATCGTCACCCCACTTGGCGCATGAGGCGAGGGTGGCGCGTCGTCTGAAGGTCATTCGACGCTGATTCTCGAAACAGGCCCGGGACAAGTCGGGGTGGAGGGGGGTTTGTGTTGCGATTTCTACTCGCCAAGTTGATGATTTCATGGAACTAGTAGCAGTGCGTGGTAATGATGAAAGACTTGGCCACGGAGGGGGTTTATACATAAGAGGGCGAGACTTGCAACTGGGAGATGAATATCCATCAGTCCACGCTTCACTTCGCACAACAGCAACTATACATACAACCCCTACACAAGAAATCACCTTGATCAACATTACTACTACCATTCCTGTCAAAATGAACGCCTTCAGAGGTATGTCTATCCTGCCGCCACCCCACAATTGGACTCCATACTGATCAAGTACCCAGACTCTGTTTCCTCTACCCCAGCCGCTGCATCAGGCGCCCCGACTCCAGCTTCAGCCACCGCTCCCACTTCCACTCGCGATACTCTCCACGCTGCTTCAGCCGCGCTAGGGCTTACATCTCAGGGACTGGATCTCTGCCCTCACTGCTTCCGCGAGCTGTCGCATTGCAACGAGAGGTTCTCATTCTTCTGATCTCTCCAACCCCCCGATCTGGCACGCTGGACGTCTAAAATCTCGTTCGGCATTGTATACTACAACAAGAACCCTTTTTTCGCCATTACAATACAGTTGTGAGCTTAAAGGGGCTACGACATTTTTTTGGGCTTGGGTTCTCTACTTTTTCTGCAATGGCGATGTATAATGGGAAAGTAAGCATGGGTGGCGTTTGACGGTCGGCTGATAAACTGACAGTCCGGCATTTCATACCCCACCTTTAGGTCGAATTGGCGCTGGGAACATGTATATTTCTGCATCGCATCTCAATTGGATTTAAAAACTTTGCAATTTACCTCATTTCTCTCTCTCAAGTTCACGCATGTGCAGCGACTATGAATTGATGGCTCCTTATAGGCAAGATAAAAGAAACTGATAGGAAGCAGCGTGCCACACGACTTAATGAGTATGACCTTAGCGATTGAGAGAGACACATCGACACATCTGTTACCAAGCGATACTTGCCCCGGCAGCTCTGGAGTTTTTTTATACCCGGACTCTGAGAGAATACGCTCGCCGCGGAGATGTTAGGGTGGTGGCGATTCAACATTCCTACGTCACGAGGGAAACTCAACCAGGAACGGTTCCACACACGAGTCTCTCCAACAGCTAACTGATCGCAACACATACATATGTAATCCGTCGTACAGTGTCTGCTTCTTTAGCTCGATGCGTGATTTACTGTCCTATCTGCCTCAGCCAAAGAGTCGGTGTGGGGAACGGACATGCACCACGTAGATCCCGCCGATAACCGGATAGAATTCCCGCCGTGGGTTTAGCAGCACATTGTTCTGTTCAACTCAAGAACTTTTCCCACCATCTCGCCTCTCCTCCAATCCTGCCGGCCAAACTTGCAATATGACCGCGACACAGGAGCCAAGCAATGCGTCGCCCGCAGGAGAGACGACGCCTCTTTTGCAACGCGAGGAGCCCAAGGAAAGCGACAGCGGCAAGAAACACGGTGTTTCGGTTTTATTCCGCGCGCTGCTTTGTGCCTTCCTCGTGTCGTTGACTTTTGGCATCACCCAAGTCCCTATCCTCTATGCCTTTCGCATGATGACCTGCGATGCATACTACGAGCATCACACCCCCGACCCCAATGCCGACGACATATGCGCGAGACGCGAGATTGAAGCTGGAGCAGCACGATCGTTTGCGCTGCTCGCTTCGTCGACTACGATATTCGGACTGGTTAATCTTCTGGTTGCAGGCTGGACGATTAAAAGATTAGGCGTGAAGCTTGCTCTCATTATCCAGATCTTCTGGCCTGCTGTTCGCTTGCTTGTTCAGAACATTGGCATCATGCATGGCAGCAGCGTTGGCATCATGATTGTTCAGGCCTCGCAAATCATCACGGTTGTTGGAGGACCCAATGGCTATGTTCTTTGTCTCAACTCCCTAGTCGCTGACGTGGTTGGGCACGAGGGACGCACCGGTGCCCTGGGCCGTCTCCAGGGTTGCATGTACTTTGGGAGCGCCATTGGCTTCCTTATCGGCGGCGTCGTAGGCGGCTACTTTGGCATCCTTGCCCCGTTCCGTATGACATTGGCATTGTTCTTGCTCTGCTGTGCATATGTAGCAGTATCCCTGCCGGCCATGGGCCCGCCCCAAGAACCCAAAGATGCGACGCCTCGTCGAACCACGGGCATTGCACGGTTCGTTGGGCCTCTCCGAATCTTTGCGCCACAGAAATGGGAGCTCCCCAACGGCCACACTCGCATCCAAACCGGAGCATTGACACTCGGAATCGGTGTTTTCCTAGGTATCCTCGCGACAGGCTACATTCCGGTACTGCTCCAGATGTATGCGACTGCTGAATTCAGCTTCGGCACCAAGGAGAATGGTGCCTTGATTTTCCTGTACTCATCGCTAAGGGGCGGTTTCTTGTCCCTAGTGTTTCCCCGTATCATTGCTGCAGGACGAAATTGGCTCGGCGATGTCAGCAACCAAAAGGTAACACAAGTGGAAGAAAGAGAACCGCTAGTCCAGGTCCAAATTACACCACCAACGCCTGCCGTTACTGAAATCGTCGATCCTCTGGAGAACGAGGAGCCACCAAATCCCGAACCGATCAACAAACAAGAGACGTTTACCTTTGATCTGTTCTACGCGCGCTTCAGCCTCCTACTCGATGGCATACTGACAGGTCTTGCCATGTTTGTGTCTCAAGGATGGCAAATGTATCTTGTTGCTGTATTTTTACCATTTTCGGCAGGAACAGGTGCTGCATCAAAGGGAACAATCCTTCAAATGCTTCCGGAAAGTGATCGCGTGGACGCTTTGAGTGGCATCACGCTCGTGGAGAACATTGCGCGACTTTCCACAACTGCCGTCTTTGGGCTAGCTTTTGCAGCACTCGCAGAAATTGGGAAGAGCTATCTCACGTTTGTTTGCAATGCTGCCGTTGCGTTTCTTGGATTTCTCGTCTTGCTTTTCTCGCGCTTCCCGCCAAAGGGTAGCTGTCGTGTAGAATGCTGATCGACATACATGTTGCAGTTGTACTTTGAGCGTACTCCAAAAATGCAAATGCTCTTCAACATATCAAAAGTTGCCTGTTTGATATTTATGCCACCGTGAATTCGAAACTGCGCCGCACATTGCCATCGAGACCTTTAGGCCCCCAGCCACATGACGTACGCCATCACTATGTATGCGCGAGGTTTACCGAACGTTCGTGTGGCTTGCATCCGTAACGGGAGCATGGGCCGCTATGCCTTGTTATCTGGTTATCTGAAGATCAAGTTAAATACCTGGAATCCTCAAGCTCTCATTGTACTTTAGGCTCCAATCTCGCGTTGGTTCTGAGATACTGAGGTGTCACTGATGAACAGCAATGACAACATGCTTGCCGTAATGCCCAAACATTTCATCGCACTGCTTCTCGCTAGCGTAGTAGGCGCAGACTACAATCTCACTTACTTGGACATCTTCTGGATTGCGGCCCCGACAGTCACGTTGGTCTCATCCAACAGCATAGCGACAACTTATTCGTTCCAATGTGACGCAACAACTACCTCTCCCACTTCCACTCCCACTCCGACCTCAACCATTTACACTGGACGTACGCATCAACCTGCATCTTAATTATTTGTTCTCACAAGTCTCACTCTAAAGCATATTAGCACCACCACAAACTTGGGTCATCCCGAGCGATTACACAGAACTCCCAGCCAACACTCCGACAAGACAGGCTCCCTGCATCCCATTTACCATGTTCCAAGGCCCAGAAACCTATGGTGTCCGCCTGACGGACGCGACAGAAGGCTTCGTCACTCTCAATGGCGATTGCAGTTGGACGGGCGCATTCACAGACGTACCTATCACGTGCGATGTCGAGATAACCGGCTCAGGATACACCCCGGGGTATTCGAGTGGCACGCCAACCGTGCTTGCGCAGAGTGATTTGAGGAAAATGACGTGGGGTGAGGGGTTTGGATATGCTGTTGCGACTGTGGTGGAGAAGACGGGGGCGGCGAGTACGCCAAGTGAAGGGGGTCGTGTGGCGCTTCCGGTCGGGGTTGTGGTAATGGCTGGGGGTGTGTTTGTGGTTGGAGTGGTAGCTTGGGCGCTTTGAAGCGTGGAAGAGAAAATATGAATACAGCATTTACGCTGACGTCACATGATGGGCACATTGAACGTTGATGGATAATTTACAAGTTAATGGTGCGGTGAATAGGATCTCCATTGTGAAAGGACCATGGAAAAATATCAGAACAGTCATGTGTCGTTTGCAATTCTGACAAAACTCACGTGCTTTGCTATGTGCTCCGGCAATGTTTGAGTTTTGCTGTGCTTACCTTCGCGATTGACTGTTGCAATATTTTGGTAGATATTTACATCAGCGATGATTCCGCATTTTGTCATTTTTTGCTCTAAACATCAAACAAATAATTTTCGTCTGGAACTACACGACCATGCAAGATGAGAAGCTTTTTTTACGTGGCTTCTATTTTGTCTCCAGTATGTTTCAAAGCTGAAATGGAATGAAAATGAAAGGAATCCCGTTAAGGTGATAAAGTAAGATGTTGAATATCAGCCTCATGCTCGATATCAAAGACTGAATCGAAACGCTGAAGGTTGTGCTCGATGAGCAAAGTTGGCCTGTTCATCGTAAAGCTTGAATAGACATTTACATCAATACCGCATTCCTGAGCACTACCAACCTTGAGCGAATACCCTCTTCTTAGCCTAACCCTCAACCGAAACAAAGTTGAAAAGTGGCTGCCGACAAGTTAGTAGCCGTGTCGTGCACGGGCTCTACCGAGGTACCAGAGCTTGGTAGTCAGATTCTAGTATACGTAGCCACACATCGTTATTAATTTACAACGACAGCTCACCGCCATTGACATGAAACCAAAAAGAGGTCAGGAGAGGTCATTTTTCACGATGCGACGAAGAGACTGGACCAAGTTACGTAGTTGTTATGCGCCAATGACAAAGCTGCTGCATTTCTCTTCCAACGGGCTGACGTGATGTGCAATTGGGAGATTTGCAGAATGGGCAGCTTGCTACTAGGATACACGATGCAATAGCCAAAGGGTCGGGGGTTCTGTGACGCTGGGCCAGTACACAAGTCGGCGAAGGGTTGCTGACTTCGGCGACTCTGCGGACAACACCAAGGCGGCTAGCGCACGGCCATGCCACGAATGCTTCCCTCTGGCTCTTTCGGCGTCTTCGTTTTACGTTGCACTCTCAATCACGACATTTCGCTTCAGACACATAGCTCAAGACCATAGGCTACGCCCCATATGCCCTCCCCGGCGCCCACACCACATGCCCGGCCAGCCCCACTCGCTTGTTTGGAGTGCCGTCGCTCCCATCTCAAGTGCGATGGCGGTAGACCCACCTGCGAGCGCTGCCAGACTCGCAACTATGCTTGCACCTACAAGCGCTCCGGACGTGGGCGGCGACGTGGTGTTACGCGCTTGACGCCGCCAGTCGATGAGCAACAGCCCGTCGTGGCCGAACAGCCGTCCTACTCTTCATCCACAACACCACATCTTTTCCTCAGTGCGAATGCGCCCACACTCAATGAGACGCCCCCACGTTTCCAACGGCCGTCTCTCGGTACCAGGAGTCCATCGGAGCCGCTACTACCGCAAAGCGGGCCGCCCCCAGCCTGGTCCGATGACGAGCATCTGGTCGACCTCTACTATCTGAATTTCCACGCAGCCCATCCAATCCTCCTCCCAAGACACCTGTACTGGGAGCAGGCCTACTCTCAATGCCTCAAGGCCGTCGTTCACTACATCGGCAGTTGTTTTTCCTCATCAGCTCCGAGAACCGAGCTGGGTCAACGCGCTACGCGAGAACTTGGCGATGCGTGCCAGCCTACCCCCGAGATTGTGCAAGCAAAACTACTCTACTCTATAGCTCTCTTCGCCCAGAATGACGCAGAAGAAGGCCAAAGCCTGCTCGATTCCGCTATTCAGAATGCTTTGACCCTTGGCATGCACAATCGCGACTTTGCCACAATGTATGCTGCGGGATCAACAACCCTCGAAGAAAGCATGCGACGGACTTGGTACGAACTCTACGTTGTTGATGGCTGCGTTGCCGCATTGCAGCGCAAGTCAACTTTCGAGACCAACGTGGTCAACGCAGACGTGCTTTTACCATGCGAAAACTTCATCTATGAGGGCGGAATGTGCTTCGTCCCGCCAACACTAGCCGAGTTTCACAACAACGTCTTTGCAGAAGAAGAAAGGACCTTTTCTTCTTTTTGCTATCGCATCGAAGCAACGCGCCTTCTCGGGCGAGTTCTGACCATTGCTGGAACACATGGCGTTCACAGGGACCTCGTCCAAGCAGTCGATAATTCCCTGGCTGCTTTCATCCACCATCTCCCACGAACTAAGAGCGAGAACCAAATTGCCAATACTTTTGGTGAGCTGGATGAGCTCATGTTCCAGGCCCATACCATCATTCAGTGGGGAATCATCCTCTTGCACTATCCTAGAGGTGATCTCGTAACTCCTAATTCCCTCACACAAAATGTTCCTGGCGCCGACTGTACCAAGCTCCTTTGCCCTTGCAATCGTCAACATGTACATTCAGTCAAAGCCGTCGAAGCGTCCAGAGCCATATCAATGCTAGCCGCCTTTCAAGCTCCTGCCCACAGGCACAGCCCCCTTTTCACGTATCCTCTTGCTCTGGCAACGGTAGTCCAGTTATCCATCAGTGCAGTACATGCGAGGACTGTTGGGAATTGCATAGAACAGCATTCTGATCGTGTCAAGTTACTGCTCGGTGTATGCAGGACGTTGGGTCGACATTGGCCAGTGGCTGAGAGTGTAATGTGCACACTGAAAAAGGTAGCAAGCGCCGTATTCCAAGCACCATGCCACGTGCCCTCAATTCCTCCGCACCATGGACATTCACCAGAGAATAACGTAACTCCTCTTGCAAGCATGCCGGTCGAGAGAAGTCAGTTTGACGATATCGATTTACACAACCTGTATGATCTCATGGGCATAGACAATTGCTCTGTGAACACGTAGCGCAAACTCCAGAATTATGAGAATTGGTAATGTTTTAATTATTAACGCATGGAATACATCGCCAAACCCAATAAGGATGAGAACGCCATGATAGAACTTGCAGGCTGCTGGTTGCATGTTACTTTTTTTCCCCGGCGTCCCCGTTAAAAGAGAAACTACCATGCGTCACATTGCAACTGGATCGGCAGTGACATCAAACGCTCACCACCAGGTGTTAGGCGAGGTAACTTACCAGCGCGGATATTGACCTGCAGCGATGGATCTAGCAGTTTTGGTGCAGCCAACCCCGCATCACGCTCCCGTCTCAGCATGAGAAAGTCCTCCTCCGCAACGTCAATAGAGACATGCTTGTTTCTCTCCCGATGATCGCCAACCGTCATCCAGGGAACAGCTTCGCATCGCGCAGGACATGCCGGGTAGTCATGACCAGTCCAGATCTTGAAGTCTTCCGGTAGACTAAGCAGTTTCTTCGCCGACGAGTACAGGTCCTTTGCACTGCCTCCAGGAAAGTCGCAACGCGCTGTGCCAATGTCTGCATGGAAGATGGAGTCGCCACAAAAGACGTTTTCTGCTCATCAATCAGCGTTAATGTTCTTACTCCTGTTCCCCGTCCATCTACTTACTAGAGATTCGGTATCCCAAATGGTCTGGAGTGTGCCCTGGAAGATGCATGACGTCTACCCTCAGTTGCCCTACTGCAAACGACTCATCGTCTTCGAAAAGATGGTCGAACGCGTTTTCGTACTCTTCGGCCGGAATTCCGTATTTGGCAGCGAAAACCTGTTGAACTTGGTGGATACGCTTCCCAATGCAAATCGGCGGCCTGGTCCCTTGGATTTGCAAAAGTCGGCTTTGCAGGTAAGAGGCAGCTGTGAGGTGATCGGCATGTGCATGCGTCTCAAGAATCCTCTCAACTTGATACCCCTGACAAAAAATGAGGTTGAGTAAACCATCGGCCGTTGATGTGCTAACAGTCCTGGAGTTTGCGTCGTAGTCTAGGACAGGGTCGATGATGACGGCTTTGTTCGTAGATGGGTCGGCAACTATGTATTGCCATGTACCTGTTTTCTCTTCAAAGCAACTGTGGATAGCAGGCTCATGAGATGTTGCCGTCATGTTGTTGTAAATTGCTTGTTCTTCAGATTTCGAGAATCCAAAGAATTGTTCTGTTGGAGTGGCTACGATGGACAGGTTTCGAATGGTTGAAGGGATGGGCTTCGTCTTGCTGACTGAGGAATGTGCTGCAAAAGAAGATTTGAGAAGATTCTGCTGATGCAATAGGCGATGGTTGTGGATTATAGCTTGGTGCTTGGATGCGCAATGTGGTAATCGGTTCGAGAGCGGGCTCGAGAATAGGGTCTTATTACAGAATCGCAAAGTTTTCATCCCTTGTATTGATTTCATTAAGCAGATTGCGTATGATTCAGATGAGTCTTCTCAAAAAGGTTTGGGAATGTCCTGCCTTATGAGCCTCTAGGTGCCTCGATGGCTCACCTTGATGCAGGGTTCGGCGTTCCGTCATCATATGTAGACGCCGATCACGCGTGTTAGTCGCCGAAACAGGGTCTAATGTCCTTACGTGCCCAGCTCGTGCCATGGCGCGTCTATCTGCTGATTCAAACTTGAAACGAAATAATAACAGCTCGAAGTGGCTTGAAAAACTTGAATTCTCTCCCAGCTTCTCCACTTGATTTTCCCTTTCCCTTGGCGACTCCAAACCATTCAACATAACCTTTTCGTCGGAGCATCCATTTCTTGGTGCCAACAATACAAAAACCTAGAACCAAACAGTGATTGACCGCAATGAACTGTTTACGAAAATCCAGAGGCTGGAAGCCTCTCAGCAACCGTACAGCCATTCGAAATCTTGCTAGTGTTTCGCCCGCAGCCCCTGCAGCCAGGAACCACAAGATTGTCGTTGTTGGAAACGGCTCCGCTGGTGTTGCAGTTAGTCATCAGCTATTGCGAAAAGGAAAATTTGCAAAAGACGACATTGCAGTCATTGATCCAGCAAAATGGCATAATTATCAGCCTGGCTGGACGCTTGTTGGTGGAGGTTTGAAAGACAAGAAGGCTCTCAGAACACCAATGAATGACTTGGTGGACGGAAAACTGAAATTCTACAACAAGAGCGTTGCATCATTCAGCCCAAATAACAATTTATTGACACTAGAGAGTGGTGATGTGATCCATTATGATCATCTTGTCGTTGCACCAGGCATCAAGATTGATTATGGCAGCGTCAAAGGCCTGTCCGAAGCAATGAGCAATCCAAACAGTCCTGTCGCATCCATCTACAGTTACGACTACTGTGACAAAGTCTTTCAAAATATCCAAAAATTAAAATCAGGCTCGGCAATCTTCACCCAACCAGCCGGCGTGATCAAATGCGCCGGCGCACCACAAAAGATCATGTGGCTCGCACTGGACCACTGGAGACGATCCGGCTTGTACCAAAACGACCGCAAAAAATCCGCAATAAACGTCACTTTCGCAACCGGCCTACCCACCATGTTCGGTGTCCCAAAATACAGCGCCAAGCTCGATGCTCTACGCAAAGAACGCGGCGTCGAAGGCTTATTCGAGCACGACCTCGTCTCAATCTCCGGCAACACCGCAACATTCGCTCGTCCAAACAACCAAGCCAACGTCCAGCTTCCCTTCTCCTTCCTGCACGTGGCCCCGAAAAACGTTCCCCATGAGTTTGTCAAAGCGAGTCCTCTTAGCAACGAAGCCGGATACGTAGACGTGGACCCGCAATCCCTCCGCCACTTAAAATACCCAAACATCTGGTCCCTCGGCGACGCCGCAAACCTGCCCACATCCAAGACCGTCGCAGCGATAACATCGCAAGCCGTGGTTCTCACACAAAATGTTTTGCGTAGCCTAGATGGCAAAGCCGCAAGCGAGGAGTATGATGGGTACACATCGTGTCCGCTGCTGACGGGTGACAAGAAAGTGCTCTTAGCGGAATTCAAGTACGGGGGTGTGCCTAAAGAGACGTTTCAGAGTTGGTTTGGGATCGATCAAGCGGTGCCACGGCGTGCGTTTTATCATCTCAAGAAGGATTTTTTCCCCTGGGTGTACGATCGGTTTCATGTCAAGGGACAGTGGGGTGGGCCGAAGGGGTGGATATGGTAGGCCAAATGTATGTAAAATGGATGGCGATGGTAGAGGCGTTTTGCTACGTATACTTCTAGGTTTGTTCTCATTTCCTAAACTGTACTCTTACTACACAAGGTTCATAACATAAGATGTGCACAACTACAAAATGATACTTTCCGTCTTACTACCTGTCTTTTTACGGGAGGGATCTTATGTATGTTATGTAACGATTAGATCCAAATCGGACTCCGCAGAAAGCGCGACGCGCCCAGCGTGCCAGAAAGGCTAGCACGTGAACATGAGATCTGCTGATGTCCTCACGTAGTTGACGTTTAATGAGATAACTATCCATCATCTGTACCTGATGGGCCTATAACATGCCATGTTGCTTACTTTATGCACTCTTGTTATCAAACCCTCTAATCAACAGCGTTTGCTGGGATATGTGAATTTAAGTAGAAAGGAAAACAATATTGAAACAGATGTTATTCTATACCTAAGAGAGTAAGGTGACTCCCTTGGTTAAAGTTATTGAACAAGTTTATTGGAAAGAAAAAAAACGAATCAAAGTAGGTGTGACAGGTCGCGGATGTATAAAAGGAATCGTGATGTTGCAGAAGTATAGTCCTTCCACAGCTCTGCTTTACAATCTTGTCTATCACCTCTATCTTCAACCACTTCCAATCTATTATCTGGATTAAGATGTTTACGCCACAGATTTGGGTTGTTCTACTTTTTGTCACCCTGGGGTTATCTACGGATCTTGCACTATGGAATGGCACTTTATCGAATACCACCCTTTCATCTGCGGCGGATGTTTTTGGGGGTGACAGAGAGCGATGTCATTACTCTACTCACGGCGACAAATTTGAGTACTGTTGACATAGAGCCTTGGACGCATCCAATCCAGGGCATTAGTTATAATACTAGTAACTGGACAGACGATACCAAGCTCGACTTTCTTCAAAACATCGAAATCGGACTCGAAACCTATATTCAGCAAGTGTCTATGTACCGGGTCTACCAGCCTGGGCAAACGTCAAATTGCGGCGCACGATGCTAAAGTGCGGGCGCAAATCTATTCGTTTGTTGTATCCAGTATGGCGGAGCGCGATGGTCATCGCCGTAGATTGATAACATGTAACAAAAAAACTCAAAACCAATGCACATGGTGCGCATTCTGGTGTGGTGGGAAGTGGGCAGGGTCAACATTGCTATGTTCAGGAACGGCGCTCGCCGCATCAGCAGCTACTGGAGGGGGGCTAACATTGACGGCAGGTTTTGCGCTTACTGGATGTTTAACACTCGCGACGTTTACATATGGGGAATTTATCCAAAAGTGCATGGACTAACGAGCAGAGCTGTTAAGGGTAACTAGTCTGTAGGACGTCCAGCGGTATCCTCTTCTCTGTCGGAGGCAAACATACCGAGCTTGACTTTGTAAAGTAGTTGTCAGACTTAATCGGTCTTCAATCACGTACTGTAAGAGTATTATTAATTATTCCTATCACGGCACAGAACTCAGGGCCATATTTCTCTTACTAGGTTCTTACTCTATTATGTAATGTGTCACGATATGTGGTCGAGCTGGTAGAACAAAGCTGAATCCAATCACTGCTAAAAGATTAATGAAAGAAGATAGCTTCTACGTACGAAAAGTAATCACGAAAGATGTCTGCAGTATAATGGAGTAATACTACACCGCAATATATACTTTGGTAACTATATAGTAGAATAAGGATGAAGCTTCTTTAGCATCAAACTTCTTAAACTCCCTCCCCCCAACGATTAAAATCAAACTAGATGACAAAATCAACAGGCCTAAAGTCTCCCTCTTGTTCTACGAGAGGAAGAAGCTTGTTTTTCCCTAAGGAGTAACTCGAAAACCCCCGCAAGGATTGCCAGCCTGATTGGTGCATCGAGACTTCGGAGAACTGACCGCGTACGCATTTGTACCAGTACAGCTGCTGAATGCATTACAGACAAAAGCCACAGAAAATGCTGCAGCCCAATTACCGCCAGAATCTTCCTCACTGAAGTCCAGGATGCACTCTGAAGTGATACCGAATGGGTTGTTGCTTGTAATCTGGCACGCACAATTAACATTGAAGGGGGTGCCGGTGCTGATTCCTCCTATGCTTGCGGTGCATGGTCCCGTGTCGCTGCCGATGGGTTTGCTAGTGGCGGGTTCCCAGGTGCCTGAGATGTAGATCTCATTTCCGACACTGCCTCCCAGGCCGTAGTATTTGGCATGTGCTTCCCAAGTGTTTGCACGTCGGTCGAGAGCGGTGCCTAGAGAAGTTGTCAGATATGCAACGTCAAAGAAATAAGAGGGACGCGTTGCAAGTATCACTGACCCTGAATAGCTTCTGCAGGCACAGCAAGGACAGCGCGTCCCAGAGCGGCGAGCAAGAAAATCTTGAACATGGCGTCTGGATCTCTATAATCGTGTGTGAATATGTGAATAGTTACTTTGAGATGGCAGAGAAAGATATTCATGGAATGTGCACACAACCCGCCTTTTGTATCGAGACTTGTCTGTTCCAGTGTGTCATAGATGATCATTCATTTTTTCCAAACCTTATGTCTCACTTATGGCTCACGTTATACTGCCTAACCATGATTGGCGTGCGGGGGTCATCCATAACCCCAGAGATTCACTAGACTTGGTATAATACGACGCGCTAGTGCTGCTAGGTGCATTCAAGCCGTTTGGCCGAACAAGTATATTTGTAGCCGCTTTTCTGGTAAGAGTTTAGAGACAACAAGAGGTTAAGCTTCGTAGAGGTTGCTTTGTCTGTTAGCTACGCTGGCCATTTTCCTTCGGCTCCTTAGATGTTTTCACAATCGAACACATGAGCCGCACAACAGACCTCTTGATAAGGAACCCAAAGCTATCTGCGGAAGAAAAGCGGTAGACATACATATCTGCGCACAAGTATATAGACCTCTTCGCTTATCTAACCCACTAGGTATCAGTGCAATGACCCAACGGCGCGTTAAACTGTCTGTATATAAAGGCCTATTTACTGCAGCGTTTTACTTCGTCAATTTTTAGAACCATTGTCAGCAGTGATAGCGATACCAGCACCAGTAACAGTATAAATGAACGTGACGATAGGCTGCAGGCTTCTATATGGCGGAAGTTAACCCGCTTTTCAAAGATGTATTGGCATAGCTATATGTCGCTAAGGTAGCTCTTTTTTCTATTTTTACTTCGTAAACTTCGATGGTACGAGGCTACTCTTCTACTACTACATACGTAATCTCTTCGCTTCGTAAGCACTAGGCTCAAATACGTACTAGCAAACCTTATTTCTCATATCAGAAGTATGACTACACGAGCTGAAGGCCGTTACGAGCAGCACAACAAATACCGCAAGTGGCTTCAATGCGGCAATCCATATGTTGCATTAGCTCGAAGAAAAACAATACTATTACAAACGATATGACAAACAATAGACTAGCGTACTAACGTTTCTATGCCGCTAGGTTTAGAGCATTTGAAGCGAATGAAGAGTAAGCAGATAAAAATCTAGAGCAAAGACTAATACAGCTTTCTATCTGCCTACGTCTGAAACATGTGATTAACAAAGGAAACAAAGAGATGCTATGACATAGACAACTAACGCATCTCTACACCAACTCTACCAGACATCCAGGAACGCTTTCATGGAGGTAGTGAGTAGTGATATCAGAAATTACCAACAAACTCAATGTGTGTGTGCCAAGTACTATGTGATAGGTGGGTAGGTGCTGGATAATGTATCACTGTTAGTGCTTTAGGGTCCCTTCTTTCCTTTTCCGTCCAAAACTATGTACGACTCTGGCCCAAGCTTTTCTATCTCTATCTTTAGAACGATCGACGTAGTTATAAAGTTTATTGGATATCTCGTATGTGACACGAAGTTGGATGAACAAACACGGAAAGCACCGAATACAAGACCTGGCAACAACGTGCCCGGCTGGGCTAAATATGTAGTAAGTGCTGAACAAAAGGCCCGGCCGAGCGGGTGCGGTATATCGGGCTTGACTGCTTGCCATGAAACTAGCAGGAAGGGCCCCGTATAGAGCGCCGAAACATAAGTGCAAAGAAACTAGGGTACGTATATCTACCAATGCCTTGAGCACATATAAATATCCTGCGACCTCCATTGACTAGAGGCATCCACCCTCCAACTCTACCAAACTACTTATTCTCCCCTAGTACGCTCAAGCAGAATGGCTATACTACGCGCCTTGCTCTTTACCGCAGTTATGTCCGTAGGCGCTCTCGCAGTGCCGGTCGCAGGTGACTTCCCTAACCACTAAACTTATCTACCTAGAAGGCTCTAACAAGGTGCAGAGAACACCATCAACATTGAGGCCCGCGCTGCAGGGCGTTGGGATGCTCATGCCAAGTATTACGTGGGAGGGGTAGGTTCTGAGATATACATTACCGGCACTTGGAGCGATCCTCTCAAGAAAATCGATGAAGACTCAGGGCCATGCTCAGCCAAAATTCTAAGCCTTGGCGAGGGTGAGGCTTTCGACATCAATTGCAGTTGCAAGATCACCGGAAACGGTCCCCTTCGATTTTCTTCAACCTGTTTTCTCGACTTTAGCGTCCCAACCCCCGGTGACTCCACAGCCGACATTTCCGCTGCCTTCCAATGCACTGCCTTCACGGGATGCGCTGGCTCCTATTCTTACTTCGTCTCGAGCTCTGCTTCTACATGCGTCGATGGATCCGGAACTCCTTGCAAGGGGTTTAGAATTGTTAAATGAAAGAGAAGATCCAATTAGAGTTAATTCTCGATTGTGAGTTTAGGAATTTGTGTTTTAGAGAGGCGTTGTACCGAAGAAGCTTCCTCTTTATTCCACTCTATATTTATCTTAGTATAGATAGTTAAAATGTAATTAATCGCTAAGTCATGTAATTCATTTTTCGAAAACGATAGCTTTAGTCATCTGAGAAACACATTTTTGAGGGAAAAAACCAAAACTTAGTATGTAGCAAACCTAATTAGTAAAGTAGAGAATGTAGCACGATACGTGATCGAGTTCAAAATAATTAAGTTGCGACCCGGAATCAAGTGGTAGAGAAAAGAAAAGCTGAAATCCAATCGCGGCCAAGATATTGATTGAAGAAGGTAGTAGCTAACTGTGTTCACGTGCGAATCCGATTGTGGCTCCTGTCAAACACAAGGATACATACTCGTCTTATCGATAACGCCCCATGCTTACCCGCCGTCTCCGCACTGCGCCACCGGTAATACACGGAACACAACACACATAAACAACAACAACCAAACCACCTTCACTTTTATTCCCTAGCAATCAACAAGGAAACAACACAATGACAGACAACAAGTTCTGGCCCCCCGCCAACGGCCTCACCACCAAAGTCGTCCCGCGCGAAAAAGCAATCCTTGAACTCACCTACTCCACCCCCGTACACGCGCCCGCACATCTCGTCTTCGACACCCTCCTCCGCACCGCAAACTACTCCGTCTGGAACACATGGGTACCGCGCGTGCGCATCGTTTCCCAGCCTCCATCTGACTCAGGGTCCAACACCACCGAGGAAGATGAGTCGCGCATGCGTGTGGGCACGGAGATGGAATTCAACGTAATCATGGACGCCTCGAAACCCGATTCCATCACGCACACGCAACTCAAGGTCTCGGATATCTCGACGCCCGACGCGCCGTCGTCGTATCTTTCGGCGGAGGAACTGGCGGATCCGAGTTTTACGGCGGATCTGAGCAAGGTGTATCGGGTTGCGTGGAAGAGTAATGGGGGGATGATGGGGTTTGCACCGGTGATTGAGCGGTTTCATGAGGTTGTTGTTACGGGGGAGGATACGTGTGAGGTGAGGAATTGGGAGTTGATGGAGGGCATGGCGGCGAGGCTTGTCAAGTTGTTTATGTTGGAGACGTTGCAGGGCAAGGTGAGGCTTTGGTGTGAGGATTTGAAGAAGTATTGTGAGAGGGTTAGTGCGGAGGGGAAGGCGGGTACTGGAACTGCTGCTGTGTAAGCAGCGTGTAGCGGTTAATCAGGAAGAATTTGGATCGTGTATGTAATGCGGAGTTTGGGACCATCAGACTGTTCTTCATCACATGCAGCCTCGTCTCGAGTCTAAACATGTCGGCAACTGGGATAATGAATGCCGATCCCCAGCGGGTCTCGCCGTTATTCTCTCCGATCCAAGACGATCCCTGCACACCGGTGACATCACCGTTCCATCGCCGTTGCCGACAAGGAAACAATACATGGGCATGAGGAATTCGATGCAGGATGATGCTAGATGATGGCGCCTGAAAAATCCGCAGGACAGTCGTATTATATTTTTTGGCGCGTGAAATGGCTGCTCACCACGTTGTCAAGCACTTCAAAGCCATGTACGAAGCTTTCGCCAACCCCAAGCTTCGCGTCTCTTGTCCTTGCTGCCCGGATTACCCAATCCGGTAATTGCGCCTGTCCCTTCAAACTATACTTGCAAAATTTCAAGAGAAGAAGCAGAGCTAACGGATGCAACCTAGTCACACGATTGGGCGCAGGCGCAGGGCCATGCGGGTGGGCATCGCAGCACTGCTGTGATCCAGTCAGCATGCGCCATGGTACGGTTGGGGCCCCATGGGAGTGGAGAGTGTTCCCCGCCGTTTGAATAAAAAGTGGGTTTGCGATGCGGATGGAGGTGACTAGCACGGCTGCTTGTTTTCCTTCGGCAATGGTACCGATGGGATGAGGCATGTTGGATCAGCGCAGTATATAATATATGGGTGCGTGATATCCTCTCGTTTGCTTTTTGATTTTGCGCGGACTCGACTCATACTGGGGCGATTTACTCCCCCCCTCGGATTAGTCATGGATAAGATTCACAGGCTCAATGTTGTACATCGCTATGAGAAGCGGAGTTTGCTCATAGCGTAAGTCACATTCCCCCGGGATTTGTTTATGGTTGCTTACCCGTTTTCCAAGGATCAATTGTATCGCTGGTCTTTCGATCCTGTTTTTCGGGTACGACCAGGGTATGATGGGCGGTGTCAACACGGCATACGACTACTATACCCTCATGGGATTTGGTCACAAAGGCCCTGATGGCGGCCCTGTCGTTGATGACACTCTGCTTCAAGGAGGCATCGTATCCGTGTATTATTTAGGGACGCTGGTTGGGTGTCTGGCCGGTGGTTCGATTGGCGATAGGTTCGGACGTATCAAAACCATCTTCATTGGAGCCGCTATTGGAACAGTTGGCGCTGCACTGCAGTGCTCGGCTATGAATCACGTTTGGATGATTTGCGCGCGTCTGGTTAACGGCTGGGGAACTGGTATCCTGAACTCTATCATTCCTGTCTGGGCAACTGAAACAGCAGAACACACGTCTCGAGGTCAGTTCATCGCTATCGAGTTCACGCTGAACATCCTCGGTGTGGTCATTGCCTACTGGCTGGAATATGGGTGCTCATTCTACGGTGATGGGACATCCTCCTTCATCTGGCGCTTCCCCATCGCTTTCCAGATCCCCATGCTCCTCATCCTCATGGCTGCCGTCTTATTCTTCCCCGAATCCCCGCGATGGCTAGTCAAGGTCGGACGAGAAGCCGAAGGACGCTACGTTTTGGCTCGTCTTCGAGGTGACACGGGAGAAGACAAGGTCAGGGCCGAAGCGGAATTCCAAGACATTGTTTCGTCGTGCGAACTCGAGCGCTCCAACTTCCGCAAGCAAAGCTACTTTCACATGCTGTTCGGTATTGGCTCTGGAAAACTACATACTGGCCGTCGCGTTCAGCTTGTTGTCTGGTTCCAGATTATGCAGGAGTGGATCGGTATCGCAGGTGTCACAGTGTACGCGCCAACAATCTTTGGAATCGCGGGTATGAGTCCAGGAAAGCGGCAGTGGATCGCTGGCCTCAACAATATTTTCTACATGTTCGCGACGCTCATCTGCGTCTTTACCCTCGACCGGATCGGACGACGCTGGACTTGCTATTGGGGCTCGGTAGGACAGGGAATCGCAATGGCGCTTGCAGGCGGATTCTCGTATCTTGGTCAAGAAGCGACAAAGAATGGCGAGTTGGGAAAGGCATCTTCGTATGGAAATGCGGCAGTTTCCATGGTCTTTCTCTTCACAGCCATATTTGGTGCCACATGGCTGACGGTTCCTTGGCTATACCCTGCAGAGATCTTTCCATTGGAGGTTCGAGCCAAGGGTAACGCGTGGGGTGTTGTTGGTTGGTCGATTGGCAATGGCTGGCTGACTCTGCTCTGCCCGGTCATGTTCAATGCGTTAGGCGAGAAGACGCTGTACATCTTCGCCGCGTGCAACGCCATCACGATTCCCATGATTTGGGCACTGTACCCGGAAACGAATCAACGCACGCTGGAAGAGATTGACCTTCTCTTTGCATCGGATAGCATCTGGAACTGGGAGGCGGAGAGGAACTTTGCGGCTCTGAGGGATCAACTGACGTATGCGACGGCGCGGGCCTCAAAGGACGATATCGAGCAGCTCTCGCATCGGGGGTCGAGCGAAGTTCGGCGATCGAGTGTGCGTGGAGATGTCAAGCTTTGAGCAGTTTGGTAGGAAAAGGCTATTCTAGTTATCCGGGCAAGGAATTTGGTCGCGTGTGTCGGTGTGGAGATGATTTACGTACTACTATCCACATCAAACGGCAACCCAAGCCGCAAGATGAATCTGAACATGTTCCCATCTCGTCATGTTGCGTTATCTGATTTCGATTGTGCTAAGTGATTTGTTAATACTGTTCAGGGGCTGACGAGAGTATCTGATGGAAGTGAGAGTGGTAGGGTGTTGTGCTCGTACGTCAGTTGTCCCACTGCTTCTGCCTGACCTGAATTCGCTACCGCAACTCCCACCCGCATCCAGCGCCCTCCATGTTGGTCGATTTGAACATGTCTTCTCATCTTCTTCCAGTTTCCTACTTGTCTAGCCGATACGTTCCAATCTCATCAACCGCCACATCTAATCATCTCCCAGACTCAATCACCTCGACATTACAACTATGAGAAAGCTCTTGATCCTGCTGGTTGCCGTTATCTGTAGCAATGAAATGAAGAACAAACTGTATGCCGACTGTGCGCTGTGCACGTCCGGGATGAACGAGTGCATGCAGGTACGTCTTCGCCCGGCCTTTGGTTACGCTGCAGCATTGGTCGTCTGAGGATAATATGCTGATGCTCTCGCCTGCAATAGGTATGTGACGAGGGACCTGATGTGTGTTGGCCCAAATGCCAGATCCGCACGTGCATGTACTACCCGCACTGTCGGGCCGATGCATGCAGATTAACTGTGCCCGAGTGTGAAGAGCAACTAGGTCCGGTGGATAGACATGGACAAGCGCAATGACAAGGACAAGCGCAATGACAAGGACAAGCACGACGACTGTGTCTTTTGGAACCCAAGCCACCTCAAGTGTAGCCACCAAATGCAGCAGTCAAAAACGGCCATCTGGGTAGGATTGGGAAAGAAAAGTGGTCATTTGGGGATTAGAGAGTTACATGGATGGCGGATAGATGCGAGGGCTGGCAGTCAATTTGTGGGCATTTTTCCACGACATGCATACTTTGTGAGAGGATGGACGCTCAAAGCCATACGAAACGCAGTCTTCATTTTGAACTCTACTTTCCATGTCTTTGATGGTGAATGAGTGAAAGGTGCTTTGGTGGTGGTTCAGCCATGACGACGTCAGAGTGCGGCTTTCACTCCTACCCAATTTGTTTTCTTGGCACTCGAGTCGCTCTGGCCTAGATTCTGCCCTCTGCACTCTGCACAGTATATAGATCCCCTCGCCCACTGCTCCAATCTCTCTCCACCACTTTCGATAGTCACGAATACGCTCTCAAGTCACTCAACTCGTTATCAAACTCCATCACACTACTCAAAGTTTCAACTTTCAACCAACGCAATCGACAACATGAAGTTCTCCGCCATTTTCATGATTGCTCTTGCTTCTATCGCCGCGGCTTCGGATCGCAATGCCATGCCTAAGTCCTGCGATGATTGCAAGAAATTTTTCGACGCTTGCATGAGGGTGAGTGTTAAACATGCAAAGCTTCTGCTTCTCGTTGGGCTCACTGACATGGTGTGTAGAGCTGTTACTTTGGTGGAAATACCTGTCCTACCACTTGCGGTATCGATACTTGCCGCGCCAGCTCCGTTTGCAAAGAGCACTGCGACTACAAGAAATGCTAAGGTAGGTGATGGTGTCACAATGATTTGGCTTCTTTGGGTTAAGACTAACAGCATTATTGTATAGTCTTGGACTGATCGTCTCTTCGTATCCAGAACCAGCAGTCTAGCAGACATGGACGGAACATATACCATGGACAAGTTTGTGTAGATCACTGGCTGAATGGAGGTTAGAGGTTGTCGGCTTCCCGAGTCTACTAATAGATGTTGATGGAAGATTGTTCACGACTGGTGGAGTAATACATGGTTGATTTCTTTAGAAGAGAAATATAATCGATGTTAAAAAATGATGCCTCTCCCCACATGATTATGACATTGCTACATTCAGTGATTTTGACTTGCGACAACGAACATGAACGCCCCATTCCCTGCAATATGTAGTTACGTCAAACGATGCGTTTGCAAAAATATTTTCTCGCCGCATATGCTCACAAACCTCCACAATGGCCGTCACTCACCCCTACTGGCCCAAGCTTTTGCACTTCCGCAGTCTCTTCCTTACTTGCCAGGTTCTCTCTCATATAAACTGTTGAAGTTCAAATACAAGTTCCTAAAGTACATTCCCATGCACATGTTCACATCGTCAGTTTATGCAACCAATTCATATAATTTGCATTTCTCACCTGAGCGCAAACATGGTTCGCAACAACTGTTCATCTTGTGAAATCCAGAGTATTCCTTGTGTTATGGACACCTCCAAACTTACACTGTGAGAATATGCATTTGCCTTCTCCGCCGCTATCACACGCTCCCTTCAATCACATGACTTTCTCTTTCATTGCAAATGCAGGTCCCGATCCCGCTCCCACACCGCAACTGTTGCCTGAATCTCTAGAGCTACCTTCACTCCATCAGTCACCCCCTCACGCACGTGCCCCGCCCGCGAAGCAAGTGAGAGAACTCTCCCTCCACTTCCACCTCTCCCCATACTACATAAACCGCCCCAATACCCCTCCAACCTTTCCTCAACGCAAGCTCTACCAATTCGCTCAACTCTATCAAACACTCAAGATCTACTCAACTTCAATCTCTTTACTACTTCAACCTCCAACTTCCAACTTCATCAAAAATGAAACTCAACACCATCTTCTTCGCTGTCATGGCCTCTTTCGCTCTTGCCGGCCCCCTCGCGGTCCCGGACGATGTCCCAGCCCTCATATCCGAGCCCAAGCCCGCCGACGTCCCTGGCAACACCGAGTCCACCGGCGGTGAGTCCATCAACGCCGCTCCTGCTCGCGACTGCCGTCAGTGCGACGATTTCTACCGCAAGTGCATGGGCGTAAGTTTATCTCCCTTCTCTCCAGCTCTTTGAGACAATGAATAGATGCTAATGATTGAATAGTCTACTTGGTGCTGGTACGATCCCATGGCCTGCTCCAAGACTTGCAACCTCGACACTTGTCGCAAGTTCAACAAGGCCTGCACTTCCTGCGGCTACACTGATAAGTGCTAGGCGCCAACTGCACGTCTTCTCTGGTCTAGATGAGGGATTCAAGACGGGAGATGGGCGGATGGGCATCATGGCAGTTCTGATAGGGTATGACTGAGTAGGACGGGATATGGAAATGGGGACTCATTCTGCACCTACTTTGAGAAGGGGTGGGATATCAGAGAGAGATGTAGGCTTGAGAGATACTTTTGCTGAGCTATGGGACGGCAGGTAGCTTAAGTCAATGGATACATCTTCTCTTCTTTACCAACGTATTGACTTTGGTTTTTTGTGCTGTGAAGTAACAATGAGCTTATCAGTGACCAATTGATTTAGACCTTCGAAGGGGAGATTTGGTCATGGGATTGAGGTTGTGGTAGAGTTCTTACTAACTACAACGAGGGATGTTGTGGCGTTGAACTTTACCAGGTAGGGGATAGCGCCTTGCCTACTTCAACACCATCATTAATTCCGCTATATTCTGTTGACTGCTTCATTCATCTTGGGTCTTGCACATTGTTACAACAAAAAAAATCCCAACTATTGTTTTCCATGAAAAGTCAGTACAACATCACATCGGCGAAATACACATCGCTGTGATATATGAACCAGCTCCTCAATAGCCATCAAATCCGTCATTGCGCAGGATAACACGTATTAGACTATTGGTCTTGCTTGCTTCAATGACCTGCTAGTACATCATCGAACTGATATCCTCACCCTACTTGCAGACCAGAGTGTTCCTTGTCCTGTCTTGAACTAGCTATACGAAGAAAACGAAAAAAATCAGGGAGGCCTACCGGACGCATTTTGCTATCCTGAGATTGGGGCGAAACTTAACCAGGAGAGAAGGTCGACACTAAAAGTCTTTGCATCAAGGCTTACATTGCAACACATCTATAAAATATTTTTGTGACCTGCTAGGGGTTGCGCTACATCAAAATTCGAAGCGGAGCATGCCGCGCACATTGCATGGACAGGGTTTGTAAGCAGAAGAAATACTTACATTCTCATAATGATGCGATATTAGAACAGTCAGCTTGGCAGATAACACATAGCGTATTTTACCAGACCAGGGACCTTGTCTGAACTGATAGCCAGGGATATTATTCTTTTTATATTCTTTTTATAGCTGTTTGCTTAGTGATCTCCCACAGGGTTGCACCTGGTACTCCTAAGTTCCGGGGTTTGGCTGCTGCCCGCTGCAAGTCCATTCTTCTCCGACCCTGAACATTGTTAGAATACTATGAGTTTTCTAATGCGCATCTGGGGACAACCGTACTTGAGGCAAAACTTCTCATATATAGAAATAAGCTCTTTGGTCTCTGCATTTTGGCAGAAGGTCGAGCATTGGTCCCCGTTTTGCTTGCAACGGTCAATGAAGTCCGAGCAGATCTGTTGAACAGGTGTAGGAGATGCACCAGCAGGTGCAGGAGATGCATCATCGAGTATGGAAGCCATCTCCGTAGCAGATGCAAGAGCCGCAGAGAACGCGAATATGGAGATGATGAAACGCATGGTTAAAGTCCGGTATACCGTGAATGAGGTGAAAGACTACTGGTGCCCAGAATAGGAGGATGAGGAGGATAGCCGATTCTAAATACACAGCGGAGATGCAGTAAAGGCATTTATCATACCACCTCGTATGAGAGCTTACTTTAGGCAAATAGAATCTATTATTAGCACATAAAGAGCCAAGGCCGCGCCGAGAGTCTAATTACGAAAACTTTGGTATGTTATTACTGGGCAATCTTACTTGCCCCGCACAGGCGACGAGTTCACGGGCAGATGTAAGATTACGAGTTGTCATCAGTAACACAGAGTTTTAATAATCAGCCTAAATGATGCTTTAAACTTTTCTTTGTCCGAATTGATATCAGGGCCAAGAAACAGCACAATAGGAAGAATATAGCAATGGGAAAATGAATTCTTTCATTGAACACTGATGATACTCTAATTCCGAGCTGTCTATTATTATTATTATTATTGTAGATTAACGTCCTTTCTCAGCCGGTAGGCTATATAAGACGTGCAGGTTGAGCCTGCAAGTATCTAAGTAGGCT